GCAGCGCCCTGCTCCTAGAGTTGCACCCTAGACGTCAGCCACATTGGCCTCCATGCACTTCCACAAATGCCAGGGCTCAGGGTCTCTGCACTTGCTACGGTCTTGCACAAAATGCTCTTCCCTAGGGATGCATGCTACACCTTGAGCTCTCTGGGCTCTCAGATCTCTCCTCCTTTACCCCTGTCTCTGCAGGTCTAACTCCTTATTTTTTTTTTCTCCCTCTTTCTTCATACCCTTTTCTGGGAGTATGAATAATTGACTTAGAAAGTTATAGCTGAGTGCAGTGACTCATCCCTAGAATCCTAGCCCTGAGAGGCGGAGGCAGGAGGATTGCTATGAACTCAAGGCCAGCCCAGGTTACAGAGTGAGAACCTGTCTCAATAAACCAAACAGAGAGAGTGTATTCTCATCAGGTGGTGGTGGCACATGCATTTAATCCCAGCACTCAGAAGGGAGAGGCAGGCAGATCTCTGAGTTCGTGGCCAGCCTGGTCTGCAGAGGGAGTTCCAGGACATCCAGGGCTAGACAGAGAAACCCTGTCTCAAACAAACCAAAATAAAAAAGAGTGTATTCTCCATCCCAATTTCTCTCTTCATTGATATACACAGTGCTATTGTGTGCCCACACTGCCCTTAGGATGAAATGAGATATCAGCCAGGAAGTGGCTCTTTAAAAAAATAAAAACCCTGTGGGGTCTAGAGAGTAAATTGCTTCATCCTTGGACATCGCAGTCTCTGTCCTGACCCAGCCCTGCCAATCATGGGCAACAGTGCCACGGGATGGGAGAGGTTTGGCCTGCAGGCTGTAATGCCAGTCCCTGATCTAGGGAAACATGTCACTTACCACATGCTTGGGTGTGGATGAGCAGGCCAGCCCTGAATGCACTTTCCAGACAGCTCCAGTACAGAGACAGAGCGCCAGAATCCTAGCGAGGAAAGGATCGTAGAAGTGACAATAGAAAAAGGAAAAAGGAAAGCCAGCGGTGGTGGTAGCCCATGCCGCTAATCCCAGCACTCGGGGTGGGGTGGGTTGCAGAGGCAGGTGGATCTCTGTAAGTTTGAAGCCAACCTGACCTACAGAGTGAGTTCCAAGACTGACTCAAAAACAAACAAACAAATAAATAAGAAAGAGAAGAATCAGGGAGGCAGTAAGGCAGGGCAGGGCAGAGGCGATCCCCCTCCCCAGCAGCTACGGGTAGCTTATTCTCCTTGCATAGGTTAGCACAGGTAGGGCTGCAGGACTGGCAAAGGGCAGGGAGGGAAAACAGAGTGGGATTTGGGAAACGTCGTCAGTGGCAGGGGTAGTGAGAGCCAGAGTGAGCAAAGGCGAGCAGATCCACTGCTGGGACACCTTAACCCTACCCGAGACAGCCCCCACAAAATGGGCAAGCCCTGTAGGGAATATAGGTGACCTCATCGGAGGGGTCACAGAAATTCTGTGCTATTCCACAGAGGAATGAACACAGGGGAGAAAGGGGGAAGGAGAGGGCATAGAGCCCCAGCCTCCTTCAGCTCCTGTGACACAGCGTGAAGGGCCCATTTCCATCAGGCGGAGGTGGAGTGAGAATCCTTTGGAAACACTAGTGTCCCAGCTCAGAGCTGTGAGCCCGATGGCACTGCCCCTTGCAGGTGCCCCCTTTCTCACCCTCATCTGTTGACTTCAGGGTGAGTTGTGAGGCAGCCTGGGGCTGAGCTCAATGCCGAGCTCCCTGGGAACCCCAGAAGTTTGAAGGCCCAGGGGACGTCCCTCAGCAGGAAAAGATGGCTTCATCTGCTTCCTGGGACCATGGGATTAAGCAAGGCAACTGCTGTCTCGTGTTGCCAATCATCTGCTAAGGGCTGTGGGCATCCCCAGGAGCTGAGGAATATGTGACTCTCAGGATGGTGCCTGCCACACAGACACGTATCCATTATCAAGGCAGGCAAGATTAAGGGCTTTCTGGGTCTACAGGGCCCAGGGAACCAGCTGGCTGCAAGAGTAGGCAAGGAGCTCTTGTAGAGAGTGTGGCAGGGTGTGACAATGTTGCTGGGGAAGAGGGAGGAGGGGAGACCTGAGATCAGATGAGTATGGGTTAGTCAGAGCCCACTGCAGCAGCAGCAGAGGCCTGGCTTGCCTCAGGCCTGAGAGTGGTCCTTCCTTTAGGATGAGGATGCCCAGTGCTGTCCTTTTGGCGGTGTCTCTGGGTTTTGCCATGATAGACATGTTCCTCCAATCTCTTGGCCTCCGTCTCTCCCGGCCTGCGTCTTTGGTGAATTAGGTTAGACTCTTCAGCTTCCCACAGATCACTAACAAAAGGCAACACAAACACAGGAAGTCCCAGGGAAGGTCCCCACCTTCTGCACCTTCCTTTAATGCTAGGCTAGTGGGTGTCTTTACCTATACCACTCTGCTTCCCCCTACACACACACACACACACACACACACACACACACACCCAAAGCCAAGGGCCCAAATGAAAGCGTAGGTAGTCACCTGAAAGCACCAGATAGATTAGAGTTTCCAGATGGGTAGGTAGACCTCTCAAATGCAGGAAGGAGCCAGCAGGGAGAGGTGTGTGGTGGGGGGATGAACATAAGAAAAAGAAGCTATGGTGCTGTGTATGTGTGTGCGCGCGTGTGCACACGTGCATGTGTGTGTGTGTGTGTGTGTGTGTGTGTGTAGAGAGAGAGGGTTACACGGCAGGGGAGAGATATGAGAGGCATGGATGTGGGAGGAGCATGTGGGAAAAGGCCTTGGGAGAGACAGGGGAAGTGTTGAGGAACGGGATTCCCCTCCCACACCCTGTACCATCCCTGAGGCCTAGATCCTGAAGCCTAGGGCCAAGCTGGCTCTGGGACCCACATCTCCTGGGCCTCAGGAAGGCGGGGCTATTGCTAACTTCATCCATACAACAGGGGACTAGGGTGACCCATGACCTGCGCCTTCTCAGGTCCCAAAGGCTGTACTTGAACTGTTCTCCCATGACTCACTAAACACAGAATGGCAGGTCTGGAAATAGTGGATAGAGTCAAGGCCATTCTCCCAGGCCTGGTCCTAAAGCCTGGGTTCTACTAGCGTAGGCCCCACAGTTGGTAGAAGGGTCCCCCAGGCTGCCGGTCCAGCCAAGCTCTGGGAGCAGCCTTTGGCAGCCTATCGTCAAGTGAAGCCCACTGAAGGGCAACAGAACTGTCTGTCTTCTGCACCGTTTTCAGCTATTTCAGAGGCCCATCAGTTTCTTTGAGTCTCTAGAGGCCTTCCTCTTGGATGCTCCCCTGTCACGGTCCCTTGTGGAATGGAGGGAACAGGTTCTTTTATATCCCCTGGGTAGGAGCCAAATTGAATGACAACACTACTCCCAGGTGGGCTATGGTCACTTTGAATTTTATTGCGACAGTAACATCCGCCATACATCTGAACACGACACACAGCTGTCCACAGCCAGTTCTCTGTCCCACCCTTAATCGCCCCACCACATGATGAACAGCTTATGGTGGGGGGGTGCCTCTATTCCTCCTCCCTGAGACATCCACACTCAAAGATGGTTGAGGCCGGGCCACAAAGTCAGTGAGTACAGCACCCGGACTCTTGAGCCCTATTCCTCATAATGTTTGACTTCTGCCCAACTCTGCTTCCCCCAGATTGACCTGTACGCAGGAGCCCTGTTTGTTCACATCTGCCTGGGTTGGAACTTCTACCTGTCCACCATCCTTACACTCGCCATCACAGCCGTGTACACTATCGCAGGTGCGGTTCCTGAGTGCCCACTAAGAAACAAGGAGCCATGGATACATGCAGGGGAAACATGGGGAGCCCCTGGGAGTGGCCAGTTCTCAGGTGGGCCTGGCTAATGGTGATGATGACCAGACTCTCCTGGCTCAGGGATGGGACACTTACTCCAGCAACCTTGTTCCTGGCAGGGGGCCTGGCCACTGTCATATACACAGATGCCCTGCAGACGGTCATCATGGTGGTGGGCGCTGTCATTCTGGCAATCAAAGGTGAGGTCTGGGAGCTGGGCAAGGGTGGGTTGACCCAGCACACTGAAAAGCTCTTTAGGTTAAGCTTCAGCGGGTCTGCACTGATGCTGGCTTCCTAGGCTGATGGGCTCTGCTTCCTCCTGCCTATAGGGGCAAGTGGTGAGGCGCTGACTAGGCTCCCTCAGGGCTAGGCAGGCTCCATGGCAGGCAGCTGTGCAGGCACACAATTAGCAGACCACAAAACTGCTGAGGTGTTTCATCCAGTGCTTAGAGTCATGTACAGAGTCCTAGGAAGTGATGCTGTCTCCTGCCAGACAAAAGCCTGCAGGGAGGGAGGTACACTAGACAGGTAACACTAGTCTAGAAACAGACAACAAAGTTCTGCTGATGCCCTGGGACCAGGGAAAAGGGAGCTGGGTAGGCAGGGAGGAAAGATAGGTCTTAAGGTGGGCGTCTCAAGGTGAAGCCTCAGCTAAGGGCCTGAGACCCTGTGCCAGAGGCTGCCCCTGGCCTATATAGGCTCCTAGCTCCACGCCCTTCTGAGAAAAGGGGTCTGAGGTGATGCCAGAAGCTGTCCTACATCCAGGAGTGCTCCTCCCAGGGTAGCAGTCCTCTGTCTCCAGAATCCACTGTAGGCCAGGCACAGGATGGACAAGAGAGCAGAGACTACAGACACAGCCAGGCCAGGGCTTGGCCTTGCACCACCCAACCCTGAGGTAGACAGGACATGCTCTGGACTCCGAGGAAAGACCCTGGCATGAGCCCTACCTGCTAGGCTGACCGTGAGGCCCAGAGGAGCCTCTGCCTCCCTTCCCTGCGTCCTGGAAGGAAGGGGCCACAATGCCAGCAGTGTCTTGGCTCTTGTGAAGTCACAGCATTCAGAAGCCCAAGTCATGGCTTCAATACTAGATGACTCAAATACCGAGAAAACCACTTCCACCTCCTTGAAGGGCCAGTCCAAAGACTGGCAGAGAACCCCAGCCTGAGGCCAGCAGGCTCCAGAGACTAGCTATGACTCCTGCTGGCCAACAGGACACTGTGGGCCCATGTGCAAAATGCTCATTTAATAGTTAGCTTAAATACAAATAAAATACTCTATTTCACCTTTTTTTCTTTTTTTTAAACCTCAGCCCCTCCTAGAGCAGGCAAGGTGAGGTAGGGACTCCAGTCTGACACATGAAGTTATCTGTGAGAAGAGGGTAGTAGGAGCCAGAGAGTCAGGACCACCCAACACCAACCCATTCTGTCCAACCCTCCAGCTTTCAACCAGATTGGTGGTTATGAGCAGCTAGAGGTGGCATATGCCCAGGCCATCCCCTCCAGGACCATCCCCAATACCACCTGCCACCTGCCACGAGCAGACGCCATGCACATGTTTCGGGACCCCTCCACAGGAGACCTTCCATGGACTGGGATGACCTTTGGTCTGACCATCATGGCCACCTGGTACTGGTGCACCGACCAGGTGAGCTCCAACACTGCCCACCCCCCTCGTGCTGCCCTCTGGGATGGGGTCGGGGTCCAGCTCAGCTGCTAGGGTTCCTTGTGGTCTCGGGCCCTCCTCTTAGAGTCAGATGGGACCCATTGGCTGCCACCTGCCCTGGCCTTTAGATGCTTTGACTGGGACAATTTTGAGTATGGGATTCCAAAGGGACTTGGATGCTCCTCGGTGGCCCTAAGCTCTGTTCGGAGGCGAGTATTTCGGGTTGGCCTTGGACTGCCAGGACCTGGTAGCATTCGGGGTGCTGGACCACCCTTGGGCTGCCAGTGGTGGGGTCCTGCTGTGGCTGGGCTTGCTTTCTTGGGAGAGCTCTGGGTGCCATCAGCAGCAGGCCGGTAACGAGGAGGCCCTGGGGTCCTTGATGTAGTGCCTCCATGTCGGTGGAACTGCTGGCCCTGGAGAGACAAAGGAGAGTGAGGTCTGGTGACATGCTGGGAGGGGCTAAAGGACACCTGCTACACAGACCAGGTTCTGCCTAGTCTGCCTCTGCACTCACCAGAGGGCTAACTACTTTGTACCTCAGTTTTCCCATCTGTACTATGGGATGATTCTTCCCTTTATGGTTTATACCCTGGCCCACCCATCTGCAAATAGGGTTAGGTATGGATAGAGGGGCCAGAGGGGATTGTTGGTGGCAGTGCCTCCATCTGAGCCCGGATTTCTGACTGACGAGGACTGAGGTAATTCTGATCTCCCTTGATCATAAACCCTGCAGATGACTTCAGACAAGGTACTTCCCTATCCTGAAGGCTGTAGGCAGCCCTGGAGAAGAGGAGCAGGGGAGGGTCCTGTGATGGCCATAGGTGAACTGATCACAGGTGCCTAGAGCCCCACTCACACTAAGTCCACCATAGGACAAGTCAACCAGGCCATGGCCAGCAGCTACTGAGTGCTGTGACAGTTTACAGAGTGTCTTGTGCACACACACCTGCTTCCTTGTGAGTCCAGCAGGGCCAGCTCTGTTCACATCAAGGTCTAGATCAGACCTGATGCTTACCAACTGGAGAAATATTTCACATAGATTTCAGGTAGTGGGAATCCATGTGGGCTGGGAGGCTGGGCCTTCATTTCCCCTTGGTAAGCTGTTGCTCTCAAGCAGGGCTGCTCTCCTCTGGGACCCCAGATGCCTGAGGTCCCCATCTGGCCTTCACCTCCTGCCCAGGCTTTTAGGTAGCTTGAAGCAGGCTCTTTGCTTTCCTTTTGAGGACTGAGGGCCAACCCCTGAGGGTGAAGGCAGCCTGGAGGGCCGCCAGGAGAGTAGTAGATGGGCTCCTAATCCCTACCACTCTTGTTTCCTCCCACCAGGCAGGCCTGGCCCAGCCCCACATCACTGAGTAGAATGTCATTTGGAAGCATTTCCCATGAAGGCCAATGAATCAGCATCCATCCTGCCCTCATGGCCGGATGAGGGCAGATAAAGAGCCCAAAAGGCCTAGAGAGGGTCACCAGGGATACAGAGAATGGTTCCTGCCGATGCCAGTGGTCACAGCACCAGCCTCCCTGGCCTCACCTTGAGTTGGTTCTGCTGCAGGATGCCAGGCCTTGGTATCCCAGACCCTGGCCCTAGACGGCCCTCACTGGCACCCAAGGGTCTAACTGAACTCTACCCTGCATGCTAAACTACAGGCTTTTCCCTAGCTACAGGTCCACCCACAGTAACTGACCATCTCGTCACCAGATAAGCAATAGGCTGGCCATGGGAGCTCATGCCCTAAGACAGGCAGGTCTCTGTGAGTTCAAGGACAGCCTGTTCTTCATAGTGAATTCCAGGTCAACCAGGGTGACATAGTGAGACCCTATCTTAAAAAACAAACAAAATGCCAGGCATTTGTGGCACAAGCCTTTAATCCAAGCCCTTGGGTGGCAGAGGCAGGCAAGTATCTGTGAGTTGGAGGCCAGCCTGGTCTACAGAGTGAGTTCTAGGACAGGCTCCAAAGCTACTGAGAAACCCTGTCTCGAAAAAACAAAAACAAACAAAACAAATGAAGTGTGGGCTCTGCTGTGCCACCACCCCTGTCAGACCTTAGTGTCCCTGGCTATAAAGTGGAAGGGTGTGCACAGGAGGGAATACCTCCTGGGACCCTGTCAACGCAGGAGGCTCCTGGATTTCTGTACCCAGGTGATAATGTGTGGTAAGAGGTGGGCTATCTCCCTGCCAGTCAGCAATGTCCTCCACCACAGTCATGACTATGAAAGCAGCTAAGAACTTCAGCAAGTGCACAACAACCCAGGGCCCTGGAGAGCCGGGCCCAGCCTGCTCCCACACACACAAAGTGACCAGCTTTCATCCTTGAAGCCATACTTGGTTGGGTGGCAGTGACCCATGTTCAGATGAGGAGATACAGCCCTGGAAGGTGACATGGCCAAGCCAGGGATGGGAGTGCAGGCCTCTCCAGAAGGAAGATGGGTAGCGGAGGGCACCCCTGTACTGTTCCCATCTCACACATACCGATACCGAGTCACCTGAGGCACCTGTCACAGGCCAGCTGCTCAGGTTGAAATAATGGAGTCGAATGTGCCCTATCAATGAAAGAAGAGCACAGATCACAGGCTCAGAAAGACAGTTGGAGTCTCAGGGCTGTGATAATTTCAGGTCAGCAGAGGGCAAGGTGCCATCCATCAGGACCTCCCCATAACACCCTCCTGCGCAGATGGAAAGCAGGCCTGCAGGGAAGCCGGGGTCTGCTGCCCCACACTGAAGGGTCAGTGTTAGCAGCCACATGTGAAGGAAGTGAATATTACAGCTACTTCCTATCTGTGAGTCACAAATAGGTGACAATCAACAGAATAACATAGGAAAAACACATATCAGAGTTACACCTGTATAACCCTATGAACAAGCTGTTCTAATCAGTGACCCACACATACTGCAAGTGCTGGCCCCACAAGGCTGCCCAGAACCTTTGTGAAACAAGGCACCCTCACAGGGATACACCCCCAACCTCCCACTTATTCCAGAATCAAATCACTTATGCCTTAAATCCCATTTGGGACACTTAGTTAGGGGGACTGTTGTGAGTTCAAGGCAAGCATAGGTACAGTTAAGATCCAAGCTATCCTGAGTTACAGAGTAACACCCTGTCTCAAAAACAGAAGAAAAAAAAGGGGGTCTAGCTAGCAGCAGAATCAAATAGCAGATCTCAAACGGCGCCTGTTCATGTGCACACCCCTACTCTGCAGAATGGAAACTAGGGCCGTCAGGATTTACCTTGCAACCATTACCAAGGTGCAAGCTTCCCTCAGTCTAGGGTTTAGGGCTCTGCCCTGTCACATAGTCAGTATCAACTGCTCCCAGGATTTATGTGAAAGTCTATATTTATGTATTTATGAGGGTCCAGGAGGTGGAGGGTGTTCAGGGAGTCCAACACACCTGGGACCCCTTTGGCTCTGACAAACACCAGGGGACCCATGCTTCCCTGTTGGATGGGCAGGGAGATTGGCTCCCGCTCCCTGGGATAAGTGCAGCTAACAGGGGAATGCTCCTGTGGTGTCTGTTGTGCTAGCACTCTGGCTGCTCATCTTAGGGGAGTCTAGGAATAGTCACATTGTGTCTACCTGTGTCACCTCACAAGGCCCACTAAGGAGATGCTTATACAGGTATCCCCGAGGCTGAGCCTCATTTCTTTCCCCCTGTGCCCCAGGTCATCGTGCAGCGGTCCCTGTCTGCCCGGAACCTGAACCATGCCAAGGCAGGCTCCGTCCTAGCCAGCTACCTGAAGATGCTGCCTATGGGCCTGATGATCATGCCAGGCATGATCAGCCGAGCACTGTTCCCAGGTAGGATGGGCTCTGCCGTCAGTGCCAGGGCACCCAAGGCTCTAAGGATTTAGTTTATAAAAGCCATTCACTAGGTGACAAAGGAGGGATCTCCTATTTCCCAACATGGGAGAGGGAGGGACTGTTCTTAGGAAAACAAAGGAATGTACAGAGAGGTGGCTTAGATAAAGTCCAGATGAGGAGTACTTACAACTGTGTGACCTTGTGAGTGTAAAGGAACATCTCCATGACCACTCACTTGAGCCTTGACTGCAATCTAGAGACTGTACCTTCTACCTGATAGGATGCATCTGACCCTGTGACTCTGGGTACGTGGCAATGTGTGCTTTTTAAGGTTGTTTGGGAGAGTACTCTAGAACTGGGAGTCCCCAGCATAGTAATGGCCAGCCACACGGCCCTGTGTGGTTCCACTCTTCCCCCATTCATCATCTCTCTATGTAACAAGGGGCATCGTTGGTACCAGGGACACAATGGTTCAGGTCGTGGGCGTTTGGGGCCTGGGGATGAGGGACCAGACCCACCTGAGCCTGACTGTCCACAGGGTGTTGTGCTTGCATCCTTGATGTATCTGCATCTTCTCTGGCCCGCCCCTGGGCCCACGGGGAGCCACCAAAGGTTCCTCGGGTTACATGAGGGGCACTCAGCTGTCGCTGGGGTGGGCGGCCTGGCCCATTGGCCATCTGCTCTGAGTGACGCCTCTGGAGAGGTACTGACCGCTCCCTCACTTCAAAGTACTCGTCTGACATCGATGAGGCCACTGAGGGTCGCCGGTGGCTGGGGCCAGGGCCAGAGCTTCCTGAGAGGCTGTCCTGGTCACTGAGGGTCACATAGTCATCATCATCTTCCTCCTCCTCATCCAGCCCATTGGGGAGTCCTGTCTCCAAGCCATCAGGGTTATCCTGGGTAGCAGATAACTGTCGCTGTAGGGGTACCTGGCTTTGGTTGGTTGTCCTGGGTAGTCTGGGGTCTATCCCATTTGGGGATGTCTCCTTTTCTGGGTTCTCCAGGGCCCAGCCAATATTGCTACCATCTTGGGCAAGAACATTTGCCACAGGGACTGTCCGGGGCTTAGGTATAGGGGGTTGTGGTTCAGTGTTCCCCTGGGGGAAGCCATTCTCAGCTGGGACCACATCCTGGGAGTCCCTGGGTGCTGGGCGAGGGCAGGGCTCTGGGCAGGGGCGGGCCTCTTGGCTCTGCTTCCATAGCTGGTGCTGGGTGCTGGCATGTGCAGTGTCACGAATTTTGATACGGTTCATCTGGTTGGGCTGAGGGTTCCAGATGTTGGGATCAATGATGTTGATGTAGCCCAGGATGTCACTGCCAGGCTCTGGGTCTGGCTCCACCCATGTGGGCAAGTACTCAAACATGTTGGCCCTCTCCAGGTTGAGCAGTCCCGGGTGGATAGGTGGTAGCTGTTCAGAGAGGTCCCCTGGGCGTTCAGCCAGTGTAGCACCCCGCAGCCCTGGGGGCCTTGTGACCTCCTGTTTCTCAGAAGAAGTCTTAGCAATCTCATCCACACTCTTGGCCTTGACCAGTGCATACTTGGGGTTGACAAGCTTCTTAGCCATGGTTCCTGTAGGTACCAGGGGCACCACAGATGGTAGTACAATGGGCTCCGGCTCTGGCTCCTTCTCCATGGGGATGTCCTTGAGGCTGACCCCCTGAGACATGAGGTACAGCTCCTGGAACTGCCGGTCAAACATCTCTACCACCTGACCAGACAACACAGAGATCACATTCCGGTCTGTCCTTGCAGCTGACCATGTGAAGCTACAACACAAAGGCAGGGTAGCAAGTCAGGCAACAGTCCATGTGCCTCCCTGAAGCCCTAGTACCCTGATTTAGTGAGAGTCCCTGGCCCCAGAGGCAAGGGGCATCTACAGTGGATACTCCATTGGGCCTAGGATAAAAACCTAAGTGGTACTGGGGTGGGGGAGGGTCAAATCTGAGTCTGGGAGCCTGTGTCTAGCTTTTCTCCAGCAAACTCCTGGGGCTCTGCTGGACCCGTAAGACAGCATGAGGGTTAGCAACTGCAGTGGCCGTCACTGGTGTCTTTGCTGTCATCAATCCCAGAATGACTGCAGCAAATGTGCCCTGCCTCATGATGATGCAGAATTGGCTCTGTCCCTGAAGATGGCTCTTAGAGTGACTTCCTAGAGGGCTTGGGCAAATTCACCATGACCGAGCCCACCCTACCCCTGGGCCAGTGACTGTGTGAGATGGAACAACAGCCTGCTTGGACAAAAGTCTTCCCTGCCTGCCTCTAGAGACAGGGTGGACCCAGGCCTGCACACAGCTCAGCAGTTTGAGGAGCAATGAACTGGAATAACCAGCGTGTCACATGCAGGGATTAAGGGCAGAAACCATCCGGGAACCAGAGGCAGCTCCTCCCCAAGTCCCGGAGGAGAATCACCTGTAGGAGCCACACACAGCCCGATCTCCATCCACAAACATGAACTTCTGGGCCAGGGCACCCTTGAACTTGGTGGCTGACCGTGTGAAGAACTCTGTTCCCCCGCTGCTGCGTACCCTGAGATTCTGTGTTGGGAGACAGGGAGGCAGAGTTAGACAACCATGGGCACTGCTTTCATGGGCAGAGGCAGCAGAGTGCCCAGAGCCTGTAGACAGTTTGTGGGGAGTGAAGATCGTGAGTGAGGTGCAAGGTGTGGAGAAGGGCAGTGTCTGGACCGTTGGGCCAGGCAAGGGGGATGGTGAAGCTGTTGCAGGGCCAGGATGGTCCCAGCTTTCCCTAAGAGCATCCACAGAGAAGCATGGGACAACTTGAGACCTCAGTGGCAAGGCCAATTTGGGAAATGCTGTTGTCCAGAGTCTTGAATGGCAGGGGGTGGGGGGGTTAACTTTTAGAAAGGTCCTGTGGACACTGGGTGGCAGATGGGGGGGGGGTAGAAGCAGGAAAAGGCCACCCTAAGGAACCTGGGTCTTATGCTCTAACGTATACAGGGTCTTCCAGGATGACTGACCACAGGCCTTTCCCCACTCCTGACATCACATAACATCACATGCTGAGCAGGCTCCCGTGAAGGCACTTAGAGAAAACTCTCTCTGGAGATAGGATGAAGTTTGGTTCCAGGGATGGTCTCATAAATGGTCAACTTCAGTCTCCGCCACAAGGCGTGGTTAGAGCCAGCAGGGGAAGGCCCTCACAACCCAGAAGAGCTCACAGAGGCCCAGAGAGGGAAGAGTCAAAGACAAAGTGGGATCAAAGTGGAACCACAGATGGCCACCTTCCTTTGGTCCCGAATACATAAAGGGCCTTTCTCTCTACTGTAGTGCCTCCAGGGCCTGGGGGCTACAGGTGGCCCAGGGGCAAGGAAAACTGACTGAAATCTAAGCATAAAGGGACTGCTGAGGCTCACAAAGTAGAACAGTATGTAAGGGGCCTAGGGTCCACCTGACCTAAGTCTCACCAGAGCTTTCTGACTGGTCTACTCACACGCCTCCTTCCTATGACGGAAGTCTCACTCCTGTCGGAGCTCTGGATTCAGACACTGGTTGGTGACAAAGCCTTTGTCAGCCTGAGCTGTGACGCGCCTGTCTGTTCCCTCACCCACTCAGTGGTTCCAGGTTATTAACTGCCCACGTGTTCATTTGTTCACTGACCCCTGTCGAGGCCCCCAGTGGCAGACAAAGATGACAGTGACAAGGATGCTACTGTGGAGGTGGCAGTGAGGCAGGTGACTCAAAACAACAATCCGGGATGCCCGGGAGCAGAGGAGCGAAGGGAGGTAGAGGCTGGGAGGTTCTCGGGAAAGGATGACGTGGGGCGAGGTAGGAGGGCAAGCACCCCAAGGGAGGATGCAGAGGCTGGGCAGCGGAAGAGCAGGCTGTCTGCACAGCTGGGCTTGACTCTGGGGAAAGAGGCCTCACCTGCTTCTGCTGTGGGCAGCAGGGGCCACGGAGAGTTAGAGAGGACAAGCTGGACCGCACGTCAAGAGCAGCACTAGCATCTGGGGAGGGTGCGTGCATGAATGGGCATACAGGAGGCAGAGAACAGGGAGGCTGGTGCATACAAGGGAGGTGGCCTGAGTGAAGGTGCCACCCATGGCAGTCTCCTCTCTAGTGCTTCCTATTCCCAGACTCCCCTGTGGCCCAGAGTACTATCCACAGAAGCTGTCAGGGGTGGCCCCTGGGTGGGTCCCCACATGATGCCCACCCAGCTGTGGGGTGAACAATTGTCTTGTTGTTGGGCCCGACCCAGAAGGTAGATAAGCTGTTTCCAGGGCCAAGCTCACTCTGGCCCCGCCTGCCCACAGGCCTGCCCAAAGCCAGCTCAGCAGGAAGCTGGCCAGCGCCCAGGACAATTAGCACTCGTGACTTTGTACCTAACATACTGCATACTCAGGGACCAGAGGTTAGAACAAAGATCTTAGAGGCCTTCCCTGTCACCTGTGCCAACCACAGCCCAGCTCTGTGGCATCCTGTGGCCTCACACTCTCCAACACTCTGTATGCTGGGGCCATGTGCCCCACCTAGGCAATCAGCCTGCACGCTTCTCTCACTGGTGTTTGCCTCTATTCACCCTAAAGTGTCTTTATGAAGGGTTCGGAAAGTATTACATCTTAGAGTAACTCAGACCATGTGAGAGGCAGGCCTGCGTTGTGCCACTGACCTGCTGTGTGATTCTAAGCAAGCCTCTGGCCCTCTCTGGGCTATAGTTTTCTTGTCTGCATAGTGGGGTTGGCACTGAACCCATCAGCTCATCCACCACCAGGGCTGAGCAGCAGGCAGGGGCTTGCATCAGGCCCCCCACCCTCTGTCTCCTGTTCCTGGTAGCCTCGCCCCATGGGCCTGGCCCAGATGAGGTAATGTCTCAGGTGTCTGGGCTCGCGTGAGCAGAGGTGGAGGATCCCACAAAGCTGCATTGTCTCAGGTCCTGGGGTGTCCCTAGTTGGGGATGGGCAGACAGGTGGAGGGTCCTTAGACTCTTTCAGACCTCCATAAGGTTCCGCAGAGATGGGTGGGGCAGGGCAGGAAGTGGAGGTGAGTCAGGTTACTCTGGCTTCACCAGGTTGGCCTGGGCTTTCTAGAACTCTGATCTCTGTGACACCAGATGGGTGGCAGACATTGACTGGACCTTTCCATGGTTCAGCCCCCTGGCCTGCAGCATGTACCTGTCTATCTGGGCTACCTGCAGCTTAAGGGCTTAGTGACCTGCAGGGAACTGTAGAAGGGATTGAATTCTCACTGGGGACTCACTGGGGTACAAACTTTGTAGCATATCTTTGATAGCCTGGACTGTTCAGGGAAACCATAACTGTCAGACCCTCTTGGTGGACAGCCTAAGGACTTAGCAAGGGAGGTCATGAATCTTTGTCTCTTGATAGGATGTAGCAGGTCACACTCCCGTCACAGGGTGAAGGCATCAGTCAGTCATGCCTGGACCAGAGGAGGATGAGGAGATGAGCTGGGGTGGGAGGCAGAGCTGTAGCTAACCCTGAACCTCTTACCCTGACTCATGGACAGACATGATATTCAATGGGAAGTCCTTTGTGAGCTGGGGCTTAGACACATGTGAGCCTGCTCAGCTCCAAGCCCTGGTATTAGTGCTCCTGGCCCTTCCCCTAGAATGACTTACATGGTGAGGTAGGCCATTGTTAGGCTGTGCTGACACTGTGATGCTTTAAAATAGCTTGCCTATACCTACTTAATGCCAATAGCACCTGATTCAGGACCAGTGAAGTGAGCCCAGTGAGATGAGCCCCTTTGGCCCTAGATACAAGGCCCTGGCATATATCCTTACCTATCAGAGGCCCAGACCAACTATAGGAGGTAGGACACAAGCTTACTCAGGAAGGGACAGGGGCTAGGGTCCAGCCTACCTCCTCCTCTACTCTCCCCAACAATCCCAGCTGGAGCCTGACAGGATACAGCTTGAGCCTCTGCTGTTCTTCTTTGGCCCAGTGGGAACCTGGACCCAATCATGTACCCTCGCCATGTGCCTTCCCACGGCTGTCGGATAGCTGGTGTTTCCTTGCTTGTTGGCTACACAGTCAGCTCAGGTGGCTGCTTGTTTTTCCAGTTTGCCTGCACAGGCCAAAGAGCTTTTCTCATTGCTAGGTATTTCATAGCTCTGGCCTGGCTCCCACTGGCTCATGGGTACCTCTCAGCACTAGGATCATCCCCATATATGACCTAGTCATTGCTCTGGCCCTGTAACCCTGGGAAAGGATAAGGTCAAAAGGCTGGGTACTCTTTTAAAGGCCTATTTCCCACTTGTAATCTAGGGGTTCATTTCCTTACTGCCTACAGGGTCAGCAGACTGTGGTGCCCGGAGCAGCTGGGACCCACACTTTGGAACAGGCTATGTAGTCAGATCCCTTCATATGGGGACTAGGAACAGGGTCGGCCCTGGCACTAACGTAAGTGCTGGTGAGAATGGCTCCTACCAGAACACTATTTTAAGAAAACTGGAAACCCACGTCACTCAGAACAGAGCTAGATATTAGGAGCTTTGTCCCTAACCACACGGAACCTCCACCTCATTCTATGCCCACCACGGACTCCTGTGCTCTGTATGGCAGCCCTGCCAGAGGGAAGGCATGAAGACGGGCCCATTTTCCACATGAGCAATGGAAGCCAGAGCCAGGAATCACCTATGGTGTGATGGCATGGCAACTGGCGTCTTCACGGTCTAGTACCTGACACCCCATGGTTACAAATGTGACCTGCCAGGGCTGTCTGAAACTTGGGCCTACAGATTCTGGAGCAAGTTGGAGCAGGGTTGGGACAGGGCAGTAGGTGGCTGAGAGCAGCCCCTGGTTTACCAGCACAGGAAGTGCTCCTAAAACAGGCCCAAATCTAGCCAGCCCACAGCAGGGAAGTTGGCCAACAAGGCCGGCTCTCCACACAGGACGCCTGGCAGGGCTGTGTCCACAGGAACCTCTGACCACTAGCCCAGGGCTGTGGTGAGACTGCTACAAAAGCTGGGGTAACTTATTGCCCCTGGCAATGCCTGGCTCCTGGGATCATGTCCTTTAGGCCTGATCACCTTCCCAGAGAGAAAACCAAGGATGGGACAGGACAGACTACTGAATCCAGCAAGCTGTCCTCCTGCCCCTGGGACAGGTGAAGGCTAATAGTGGGATAGGGCAAACCTCCCATGCCCCTCTCCTAACCCCAGGCTGGCAGCTGCACACCTGCTCAGCCTTAGTGTCTGCACAGCTACTATCCCTTAGTTTCTCCCACAAGCAACTCTAGGAGCCAAGTCTCACAGTGGTCAATGGGCAGAGAGTCCATGTGGGCAGCTCCAAGAATTCTGAGAGACAGGTCTATACTGTCCTTGTCAAGACAATTTCTTACTGGCTTTTAGGCCTTAGTTTCCCTATCTTTCTTGTGGGAACCTAGTCTGAACAGCTACATGTATCTGGATTCAGACAGCCCCACAATCCACAGGCAGAGCTTTATAACTACAGGGTCAAGTCTCACTGCTTCTGGTGTCCTTAAGTTTAGAAACCCCAGGGTGAAAAGCCATCAAGAATTTTCTAAGAGGGGCCCTCGGGCTCTGTAGGGCCAGGGCCTCCAAACAGCCAGCATGGATAGGGATTCCCCTGGGCTACTACAGATCCCACCCTTTGTCTACCTCTATTACCAGTGTGATGGATAGAGTTAAGCACAATCAGTGTGTGGCAAATGCATGGAGTAGGGACCTTCCTGGACCTCCTGGTGCCACCCGCCCACAGAGCAGCCAAGTCACCTTTTCTGAACTTCCACAAATGGCTTTTTCTGGCTGGCATGAGCTGTCTGCTACCCCAGAGCCATTTCTAGGTGCTAATTACGTGCCAGGCAGGTGTGAGGCTTGGGGTCAGCCTACCTGGAGACCACATGAAGAAGTCTGGTAGCACAGTAGAGAACTCACACCCACTTGAAAGGCTCCGCAGGGGACCTTGACAAATGCTGACAAATTATAGGTTCTAAGCCCTGCCACTGTCACCAGCCCTGTATGATGGCCATCTGGAATCTGTGTTCCATCACAGGCCTCCAGCCTGGGGCACTTGTCCCTCATCTCTAGTTTATTGGCAGTGACACCAGGCAGCTGCTTTTTTTTTTTTTTTTTTTTTTTTTTTTTTTTTACTGCTTCATCTGCAAAATGGGAATGACAGATCCATGATGCCACTTGGGTTGTCACTGGGCTGAAGTAAGTTAAACCATGGAAAATGCCTTGAACAATCACATGCTATGAGAGCAGCAGCTGCTTCTGAGAACTTCTCTATAACCATTGGCATGTGCTGTATATGGGTGCTGAACAACGGTTGAGCAAGCCACCAGATGCTAGGGGTTCTTAGTGGAGGAGCCTGGCAACACCTATTTATCTACCCATCAGACCAATGAAATCCTACAGCCTAGAGCGGTAGGCAACAAGATCTCAGGCACAGCAAAGTGAAGCTGGGAATCCAGGCATTAGCTTTCTCTTCTCTAGCTCTATCCCACTATGCCTTCTTACCCCAAAGATCTATCCTACTCTGTTTAGGCATCTCAAGTCCATTTCAATCCTGACTAGCATAAGGGTGTTTCCTGTGTCTGAGCCAGATCCTAATGCCAGCTAGCAGAACTAATGAGACAAATTTAGGCTTATCCCAGTAAAGGACTTCCTAGGGGTCAGAGCTCTCCAGGTAAGGTATGATCTGCCTGTGGAGGCCGTGAACATACACCTGTCACCAGAGGTATGCAGGCAGACAGGAAACCGATGTGGAATGGGTAACACAGTACCTGGCAGGCGCTCTGGCAGCTGGTTGAAGGCATTAGATTTGTGTTTATCTTATCTGCCTGTGGAGGTAGTAAGTATCTTATCCCTCAAGGCATTCAAGTTGTGTGACCACCTGGCAGAAAGCTTCAGGATGACTGAACTCTGTTTGGTATAAGGCACTGGCTACAAGTCAATATGTCTGTTGCCTGATTGAATGACTTCTGCCCTCCAGTTGTCCAAACAAGGGAAGACAGCTCACCTTGAGGTGTCCCAGGTGCATGCGGGCCCGCTCACACATGTGTAAGAAGTACTTGACATTACTCTCATCCACAATGATGTACACAGCCACCTTCCTCTTGAAGCCAGCATCCAGCAGGTCTTTGAAGATATCCACGTCAGTGAACATGTCCATGACCACAGCTATCACCTGGGGACAGGGAAAGACAGGGTGGTTTACCAGCACAACAAGACACAAGCCTATGAAAAACCTAGCTCCAGTACTCCTCAAGGTGGATGGTGCAGGGAGGAGTGTAGACATGTCAGGAGGGTGCAGGAAGGTTGGTGACCCAAGAGTAAGGGCAAGGTCTATGTCACAGTTCCACGTGTTCAGACTGGTTCCCAGGGCCTCCCTCCTTAACCAGGTTGGGAATTCACTGATTGGTGCTGACACTAGGAATGTCCAGGGAGGCCCTGAGCACAGCCAGGTGCTCAGCCCAAGAACCTATATTGGTGCCCTCCTGGGGCAGATTCAAAATAAGCTACACATGCCCCTTCCTAATTCCGGAAGATGCTGAGACAAACCAAATGTAGCCACAATGGGGAAGAGGCCAGCAGGTGGCATGGCCACCAACTTGAGACCTTGCTTGAATCCTGGGCAGCTGTAAACTTCAACAGGATGCCTATGTGGACCAGACAGTACCCACATCAGCATGTGTTCTTCTTCTCATTGCCAACGCCTATGCCTACCACAAGTGATTTCCACTCTCCTGAACCTAAGGATGGAGCTGCAGAGGTCAACCCCTGAAACCACCCTCTGCAACCACTTACCTTAGCTCCCTGCCAACCATAGGGCTGGAGTAGGACTTACAATGTGGACCTGCTCTCCAGAAGAGCATGGTTATAGTTAGACCAGGTGTGTTCCCAACTCAGCTGCCAGCTCCCTACACTGCCCCTTCCCTACTGGCCTGACAGTTCCTGAAGAGCTGGGACAGTGGAGGCTGAGCTCAAGCAAAGCTCAGCATCTTCCTTCAGTGATATCTGTACACACACAGTGATATCTGTAACAAGAAGCCTGCTGGTTACATGTCTGCATGCCCACAGTGAACTCACTAGGCTAGCCCCTGCAGGCCCATCTGGGCTCCTCCCGAACCTCTGGCCCCTGCTGATGACTGCTGCTCATCTGGCACATAAGTCCAAACTCCTCAGCAGGAGGAAGCTCTAGGCCTGCCCTGCAGTGAACTTGCTGAGTGTCCCTAAGTTAAACCCTTAGACAGCTCTGGGCTCTTGTTCTCTCATCAGCAAAATAGGCTTCATTCATGAAAAGCAATCACACTCATGGCAATGCATGTCAAAGACCCTAATCCAAGAGATGCCTTCTCCCCAGGCAGCCTTGCCTGTGACAGGCCCACTCCAACCTCTCATGAACAGCCAGGTGGGGATACTGGTGCATAGCTGGGCAAACTCAGGCTGGCGAAATCACGAGGCAAGTTGAAGCAGAGTAAATACCACCCACTCCCAGATGTGCAGGGCTGTTGTCTGGCCTTCCTTTGACCCTGTGGTCTGCAGGGCCTGAGAGTGCTAATCTGCTCAGAATGAAGGGGGGGGGGGAGGCTGAGCCCTAGGAATCCTTGAGTCTTTAGAGAAGAGCTACTTACCACCTATTAGGGGCTATCTGGTGGTAGAGTGGGCACAGGGTTGACACTGGCAGGGGTAAACTCGAGGACGATGTCAACACTAGATGAGGAAGCACCTTCCATTGCAGAGCGGGAGAGATGAGAGGAAGACCCTAGAGCTTTTCACCAGCACATGCTTGGCAAAAGCCAGAGACTGCTGGGAAAGCCTGCCAGTAGATGGGCTCCCAGACCTGGCAGACTACTGACTCTGGGTGGCACTGGATGTGCATGAGTTGGGGAGGGGGCTGCAGCAGGAATCTCCTTGTCTGAGATCCCACAGGCTGTAAGCCACTCTACCCATGATGTCCCCTTAGTTAGACTACTCCTGAGCAGGCAAACAGGAAAGAGGCCTGAGCAGGCTGGCACATTGCTCCCTGGAGGCTCTCCAGCCCATTGCACCCCAGATCTGTCATTGCTGGTTCCAAGCTGTGGGCACCACAGCAGATTGAGATGTGCCCCAGCAGGACAGGGGACCTGATCCAGGAACCACGGGCTGCCAATATGGACTTGTTGGGACCTATGCCCCAAGGTGGATCCCTGACAGGGTCCCATGGTTGGCTGGCTCTCTTTAGGTGCTGGATTCTGTCCCTAGGATGGTGAAAGAAAGACTACACAGCTATCAGCTAATACTGGGAGGGGAGGACTTCCAGGTGCTCCTGGGATCTGAGGTGATGCTGGAGGGGAGGACTGTCCGATGCTCCCAGAGTCTGAGGTAATGTTGGAAATGGAGATGCTCACAGTGCTCTGGTATGTGAGGTAATGCTAGGAGAAGGCTTCTTGCTATTGCCCAGCAACCCACATCTTGGTCTGTCCATGGTCAGGCCACAAAGGTTCCATGAGAATTCTTGGGACACATTAGGATATATTGGCTTTGCAGATGGGAATGTGGAGGCAGTCAGTGACAGAGGCTGAAACAAGCCTGTCCCTGCCTTGCTCCCCTCCTCTCAGCCTGAGATATCTAGGGTTCACAACTCCTACCACCAACACCATTACCTCTAGAATCCTCAAAAATGCTGCAACTAGCAGTTTTCCCTCCCATTCACAGGAGAGGACACTGAAACCCTGTGCCTCAAGACTACCTAGTTACCTGTTTGGATGGCCTAGCTCATCTGTGACACTGTGAGCTTATCAAGGGGTGCCCTGACTGGGCAGTTCTTGGGGAGTTTTCACCTATCAGTGACACAGGCAGTGTGGCCCCAGAGTTCCCGCAGCATTCAAGGCCTGGTACTAGCCATCTCCTGTCTTAGGTCCCTCCATTTCCACATCTAGGAAATGGGGTGGTGGACAAGCTATCTCACCTGCCTTTATGCACCCGGGAGTCCTACCCACAGCCCAGTGGGGTCTGTATGGGCTGGCTGGAGCATCCTGCCATGCCAACAGGGTCTGTGAAAAGGACAGTTTGGTAGCTGCTTCTCAAAGAGTCTCATAGGCTGCAGGCTTGCCAGGGGCTGACACTAGCCCAGAGCTCCCAACACTCACAGAAGCTTCTTCTAAGCCCCTAGAGCTTCTAAATCTCACCCAGTAGAGCAAAGTGTCCTCATGGGACAGTGGGTAGACAGGTTTCCCCACAAGTGTCAGAGAGGAGGGGCAGGTGAGGCAGCCGGGTAGTCTAACATAACTGAACACTACTGGGGTACAGGTCCAGCTTCTGACACACTTTTCCTGAGAATCCTGACCCCACCGTACCTCTTCCCAAAAACATCCTGCCTCGGTTCAATAAGGCTGTCTCCAAGGCCGTTAGCTGATTGTCCATCTCTGGAGAGCTGTCCAGGGCCACTTCAGCAGTGAGCTGACATCAGGCCAGCTCACTCATGGAAGGAAACATTCAAGGCTGGGAAAAACCCCCGAAGGGGCAACTAAAAGCAATAGATGATCCTCATACAGGACCACAGGAGGCTCATGTCTCCCTAGTGAGGGCAGAAGCCATCCAGATACATATGGCCTGTGGACAGTCCACAAAAGGGACATTCCACAAAAGGACACTGCCTAGGTAATGAGCAAGGAAGCCTTTTTGTTGTTGTTGCTTTTGTTTTTTGAGACAGGGTTTCTCTGTATTGTTTTGGAGTCTGTCCTGGAACTAGCTCTGTAGACCAGGCTGGCCTCAAACTCACAAAGATCCACCACCTCTGCCTCCTGAGTGCTGGGACTATAGGCATGTGCTACCAACACCTGGCTGAGCAAGGAAGTATTAAACCAAGTATAGGCAAACCTCTGCACACAGCTCGGCTCCCTATTCCAAATGCTTGGATCTGTCAGTGTGGCAGACAAGTGGCATGGATGTCAGGGAAGGCATCTGTATTCCAGAAGTGGTGAAGCTGTCAGGGGACTTGGTGTGGCCAGTGGGCTAGTGGACCTGCTTCTATCCTAAAGTCTATTCTGTGCCTTCCTAACAAGATTTAGGAGCAAGACTTTTCAGCATTCAGCTGGGGCCTGGTACAGCAGTGACAGAGGCTTGTCTGACATGCTGAGTACCTGGGGTATCATCCACAGCCTACACCTCACCCCCCAAAAGTGTTTATTTCTAAGAAACTTCACAGCATTCTACAACAAAGCGCTAAAGCATTTAAGAGAACACACACTAGCAGGCTACAACATAAAAACCCACTGGTTTGGATCCTCAATAGAGAATTAGTATACAAAGAAATGGGAAGGAAGACTCACTGAAGGGTCAGAGTTAGGTGGTGCACAGAGGCAGGCGGATCTATCTCTGTGAAGTTTGAGGTCCGCCTGGTCTACAGAATGAGTTTCAGGAGAGCCAGAACTATGTAGAAAGATCCTGCCAAGATAAATAAATGACAGTATGGAAGAATTAAAAAAAAAAGTCTAACACAAGGTGAAAATATATACTGGGTGGCATTAACAGTGGGATAGATATCGTGGAAGAATAGTGAAGTTGAAGACATAGCAGCACCAAGTATCCGAATGTCACACAGAGAGAAAGACAGAACAGCATGCCATGGGCACAGTGCTGAGCTTCAAGAAGTCTAACAGAGGGAGCTGGAACCTCAGCTCACTGCAGGGAGTGGAGTGGGAGAGAGATTAGAAACACATGCAACTAAATGAGCACTAACCGTCTTCACTTGGTAAGAATGGAAGTCCACAGACTCAGTGACACACACAGAACAGGAAAACTGTTAGAGCACATCTCAAAATCAGCAAAACGGAATCTGAAGAAAAGCCAGAAGGAAAACAGACTGTTGCATATGGAGGAACTGAGCCAAGCTGATATCCCACCAGAGGCAGCGAGGGAAGACGCAGTAATCAATGTCTTTCAAGCACTTTGTGAAAAAACAAACTATCCACCTAGAAGTAGATGGCGAGGGAAAACAACTTTCAAGACCAAAGATAACATAAAAACTGGTGCACAAAGCTGTATGAATTCATTCCTGGCAGGCTGTGTGCTGCAGCCACTGTCCCTTGTATAGATGAGGGGACTGGAGCTGGGAGACTACAGCAACTGAGTTCATGGTGGGGGCCCAGATGTCCCCTCTCCCAGTCAAGGTATAGAATGCAGAAAACTTCCCTGCCCTATCTT